TTTTGCTTTTTCTGTGGGTGGGGGGGGGGGGGGGGGGGGGGGGGGGGGGGAATCTGTTTCTAATAAAAGCTGTTCTTTTGAACTTTGAAATAACTTGGGGGGAAAAAAATCACGGTTTCCACAAAAATATTAAAGGTCCCATATTGTCAAAACTGAAATTTCCTGGCTTTTTTCATGATAACTGAGATCTAGTTACTATGTAACTACCATATGAGTTTCAAAACTAAAGTTTTGAAGTAAAATTCACACAGCCTGCTTAAAGTAGCTGTGATTTTTCACGAACCGTTGTGACTGCCGTAAAAAGTTGACGTCAGAACTACACAGTCTCATGTCGGTGGAAATCATCAACTCTCATTGAAAATAAATGACTTCCGTCTCTTTGTTGCAGCAAATGTCAGTGTGAACGCCCTTGAGGTGACAGGGAAACAGTTACTTGTCAGACCAGCCCTGTTTTGTCTGCCTTTTTGTGTGATAGCCACTATACAGTAATTGTAGACTTGCGGAAACATAAATATATACAAACAATCAGCACTGTCAGGATAAATTACACTGAAAGCATTTTATTAATTAGTCTTGAACTACATCACATAACATATGGAGGATAAACGTGTCAGGATTTCCTTGACTTCCTTTATAAATTTACTAAAATGCTCCTCTTGGACAAAGAAAATGCACTTATCTCTGTCAAGATCCCACTCTCCTTCGCATCAATGTAATGTTGAGTCGAGAGCCAATAGCACATTAATAAGGGGCAATGCCATTAAAACCGAGATGCATTCAGAACTGAATTTTATTAATTTCCTGCTACGACACAGGAAGCTGCTGGAGCATACCCGCTGTTTGCAGCGATGGCGAAATAAATCCTAGATAATTAGCACAGAGATGTTTCTAGTGTGGGAATCATGTCCTAATGTAGTAATTGTTAGTGTCGTGTACGTGTTCCCACTTTGCGCTTATGATTGTGTGTGTTTTTATGTCCTCATTTGATCTGTGTTCATGCTCTGTTCCTTATGTTTATGTGATGTTCTTAGCTTCAGAGACTCATAATGACTTGCGTATGGCTATAAACTGACTGCGGATGGTAGCGTGCAGTACAGCAAGCTTTCCAAGATAGAAGCTTTAGCCACCGGGCGGCTCAAGCTGACTCTCCCACCAGGGCACACGTACACCCAAAAGAGCCGCCATGTTTGGGAAGCGCTCCAACTCCATGCGGCGCAACCCCAACGCTGAGGTGGCCCAGCAGGGTTGGCTTCACAAACAGGTACTGTTGCTCATCCTTAAACCTCATCATCATCCACACAAACAAAAAACACACACACAGCCCAAAGCCATCACTCCATAATCTGAACTTAAGCCACTCTCTTTCAAAAACGTCTTGACACTTAGATGTAATTTCAAGGTCTTGATTTTTTTTCTTCTTCTCATTTTCTGTTATGTAGGCAAGCAGTGGTATGAAACAGTGGAACAAGCGCTGGTTCGTGCTGACAGATCGATGTCTTTTCTACTATAAAGGTAAGTTGTTTATGTAAATGCTGGTTTATACATACGTAAGTTGTGAATTAGGTTAAACATTTAGTGAGTTCCCAAGAGCTCAGAGTTGTATGATTTTAATGTATTTTTCCAAACCAGTTTGTTCTGTAAAACATTTGAATTTACCCCATGGCATTACTTCAGCACACAGGCTGTGTGCTGCCAATAGTGGAGAAGAGAAGTATAAAAGTAGATCTATAATGACAGTCTAGCACAAGCACACATCCTCTATGAAGGCCTTAGGAAACTATTATCTATTTTGTGTCAATGAAAAATGTACCGTGGTATTATGAAGCACTGTAAATGCATGGTATTTTTTTGAAGAATAATGAAATACCATGAAAATGCTACAGTACCGTTCAAAAGTTTGGGGTCAATATATTTTTATTCAGCAAGGACACATTAAATTGATTAAAAGTGACCGTAAAGACAATGATACAAAAGGTTTTCAACATTAGTAGTAATAAGAAATGTTTCTTGAGCAGCAAATCAACATATGTGACCCTGGACCACAAAACCAGTCTTAAGTCGCTGGGGTATATTTGCAGCAATAACCAAAAATACATTGTATGGGTCAAAATTATAGATTTTTCTTTTATGCCAAAAATCAGGATTTTAAAGGGGTCATATGATGCGATTTCAAGTTTTCCTTTCTCTTTGGAGTGTTACAAGCTTATTGTGCATAGATAAGATCCCTGAAGTTGCAAAGACTAAAGTCTCAAAACCAAAGAGATATTCTTTATCAAAGTTAAGACTCTGCCCCCTAAAACGGTTCGTTCTAACACGCCCCCACATATCTACCTCACTATGTGGAAATATTTGTATAATGCCGCCCAAATGTGCACGCAAAGAAAGACGGCTTAGTTTCAGTAACCGCAGTTTGTGTTGAAGCAGCCATGTCAGGGAGACGCTGTGTGTTTCTAGGCGAAAGCAAAAGCACTTTATTTGGCCTTCCGAAAGTAGATGCATTTAGGAATCTTTAAGATTACTTACAACAGAACAGCAATGCATTTTATGGACGACCGTTTCATGAACCTAGGAGAGGAGGTAATTCTGACTTTGCTATGACAATCTGGCGCTTCTGAATCAGCTACTGTTTTGTTATTAGTTTAAGTATTTGCTATTGACTGTTCAAATGCGGAGTTTTGCACATGGTGTGTGTGTGAGAGAGAGAGCGCGAGAGAGAGAGAGAGAGCTTACATGTACTGTTGTACAATTTATTATTATTATTTTTTTAATTATTATTATTTTTTCTTTCTTTTTAACAATGTCTTTAATATTTTTCTTGTTTCTTGTTTGTGGAAAAAAAAGGGAAAAAGAAAAAAGAAAAAAAAAAGAAATTACACGTACTTATTTACTTAATTATTTTATATATCAATTGTTGTTTTGTTTATGTATTATATAATTGTTTATTCCTTATTCATTTAATGGACAATGCTTTGGCAATACTGTGCAAGTCATGCCAATAAAGCTCATTTGAATTTGAGAGAGCGAGAGAGAGCGCGAGAGAGAGCGCGAGCGAGAGAGCGAGAGAGAGCGCGTGAGAGAGAGAGAGAAAGAGAGAGAGCGCGAGCGAGAGAGCGAGAGAGAGAGAGAGCGCGAGAGAGAGAGGGAGCGCGAGAGAGAGCGGAAAAATCTATAATTTTGACCCATACAATGTTTTTTTGGCTATTGCTACAAATATACCGCAGCGATTTAAGACTGGTTTTGTTGTCCAGGGTCACATATTAAGACTAAAAGTATTTTAAAAGTTTAGATAATGTTTTATGTGTTTGAGATACGGTATAAGTTCTAATAAAATGAAAACAAAAAAACCCTGAATTCCCTGATAACGGTAAAAATAGCTAACATTCTATTTTAGCAATTCAGTTTCTATTCTATAGCAGTTCAGTTTGTTTAGGTATCCTTGATTTGACATAGCAACATTTGCTCTACCTGTCATGTGAGTTTTGGATGAAATTTTCCACTGTTTATCTGTTTGTCTGGCCAGTGGAAAACATTTTTATTTTTTGCAATTCAGTTTGGTGCAGAAATGACACACTTCACCTTTAAGTGTGAAGTAAATTAGTGGAGAATAGTTCCCACACTATCCAAACACATCCATCACACGCTCTCATCTGTGATCTGTGTGATGGGAATACATGACCGTCTCCTTTAGACTAGCCGCAAAGGTCAGTCACAGCTCATGCATGGAGAATCAACATTATCCAGAGGCACTGTGGGATAGAGGAAGGTGTTAGGATAGTTGGTATGCAGCTTCGTCCAGATGTTCCTTCATGTTCTTCTCTCATTTGAATCCCAGAGTTCTGTTCTGCTCAGTTCTTCATACACTGGCCACATCTAGGGTTTTAGACCTTTCAGACTTGATTTATATTCCAGGAGCACCAACATTATGTCCATGCTTTATATATTTACACATTTATATACACACACACATATATATATATATATATATATGTGTGTGTGTGTAAATGTGTAAATAATATAAAGCATGGACATAATGTTGGTGCTCCTGGAATATAAATCAAGTCTGAAAGGTCTAAAACCCTAGATGTGGCCAGTGTATGAAGAACTGAGCAGAACAGAACTCTGAAAACATGCAGGGTCCGTAATAGTTAATGCCATCAGGAAATGCCCTGATGGGAAGTAAATATGGTCAGCGTATTGAAGAATGAATGGCGTTGTGAAATATTATCTTACTAATAATTCCTGAGGAAGAGGGAATTCTTTGACAAGAATGTCAAATATTCTATTTTGGGTTTGCAAGATACTGGAACACTTCACACCTTTCTGTCACCTATGCTCTTTGTGGTTAAATTTATACTCCATAGGCAGATAGCATGTTCTTGGAAAGGAGTGGGTTTGCACTGGGCATATCAGTACATGAGAGGTTGCACCGCAGGTGTGGATGATGCACGTCAGCTGACAGCATGTCCAGCACATGTCCCGCCCCTTCTCTGCAGCCACAGTCAGTGTAATGTCAACAGCAACACGCTAGTTCACTGGCTTTCAGTGGATTCCTTTCCACCCATCTTCTTTTAAGTTTGTTAAGCATGAATTTCTGTCTTTCACCCCCCCTCCCCACACACACAACCCCACAAAAAAAGGTAGAAAGAAATCTTTAATAACATCTTTAATCATTTTGTCTTGTCTTCAAGTAAAGTATTCTTAAAATATATATATATATATATATAATTAGCTTGTATACATTTAAGCTAAATTTTCTTTCTTGATGTTTTTTGAAGCTTGGAACTTCATTTTCCAGTCATTGTTGTTGCATGGAAAAGAATAACAACATTCTTTCTCCTCTTATATTCCGTGAAAAAAAAGGAAGTCTTTGGAAGGAAAGAGGATGAGTAAATTACATAATTCATAATTAAAAAATTGTTTTATGAATTATTCCTTATTCTATAGTTCTTAATTCAATTTTGTTGTTTGTAAATTTATCTTTAGAATGTTTAGACATTTTTATTTGAAAAAGAAAAGAACAGAAATACAAAAAAAATTAAATAAAAAATTCAGTGGGCTTTTCTTTAGCGTCTTCACGACATGGCGGCGGAAACAACAATACTACAGCGAGAATAAAAGTTACGCCTTCTTTCTTTGCGTGAACATTTGGGCAGCGTTATGCAAATCTTCCCACAGAGCGACGTAGGAATGTCGGGGCGTGTTAGAACGAGCCGTTTCAGGTAGACGTGGCTGACTCTTAACTTTTATAAAGAATATCTCTTTGGATTTGAGACTTTAGTCTTTGCAACTTTACAGATCTTCTTTATGCACCAAGAGCTTGTAACACTCCAAAGAGAAAGGAAAACTTGAAATCGCATCATATGACCCCTTTAACTGATTTAAAATCCACATACTCCACCGTCTGGGAATATCATTTTCGATCCAATGACTGTATTTGTGTGTACTTATGTGTGCGCACCCGACCATAGTTGACAGTGATACTCTCTGAGGTTATGCAAATATGAGAAACTGTGTTCTCAGAGTCTCCCAACATCTCCAAACATGTCAGACTTCCTGTAAAACTCACTCTTCGCTTGCTCTTAGTGTTGTTCTTAGCGTATTCTCAGTTTTCAGAGACTGGCTTCTTGTTCCTGTGCGTCTGTATTCTTGCATGCCGTATCAAAAACAAACTAGTTTTGTGAGATTGTGACCGCCAATCACCCATGTAAAAACAGTGAGGTTATCTTGGTTTTTGAGCACTATGTTTGCTCAGAAGCATGATGCTAGCTGAAAGTGTTCAAGCATGTATCCCTTTAGATTATCAGCCAAAACGGATTTTAAATGCAACTCGTTTTAAAATTTTTATTTTTGTACTTACTATATGTTGCATGTCTGTTTTTGCCCAAAAAAAGTTTTCTAATGGAATGCAAATTTACCATACAGTGAAATGGGGCTGTTCACCCAACAATAAAAAAAATAATCATAATTTACTGGCTTTTATGTCACATAGAACACAAAAGAAGATACTTTCATCAATTTTGTAATAAATTTTGCAAGTACTGTACACAAAGATCATTGTACATTCAAAAACATAACTGCATACAGTTGAACAACATTACAGTAATTAAGAGTTGATGTTAATAGCATGTGTTAGTAACACACTCCAGGAACACCAGGAAGTTTCTTTCCTTCCTTAAAAAAAAGGTAAATTACTTAAAAGTCACAATCAGCAACAGCCAGTAGATGGCTGTATACCATACGTCTCCACAGCTGCCCTTAATATCTTGGTGATGGCGCAACAACCTACGTCCTCTTATCACCCCAGATTCATCTACCCAACTGTGCTGTGTTTGAGAATGTGTGACAGAGCAATTTAATGCCTCAATTGGTATTCTGAACACAGAGAGGCGATGAAAAATGGCCCACTGTTGTCATCGCTGCAGATATATGAGCTGTATGCCAAGTACGAGGAAGAGAGGGTAACAGAAAAAATGAAACTTCGATGAAATGATTGTTAAATGTGAAAATAGATTTGGGGTTATGATTAGCAGTGTATGTTGACAAATATCAGTTGCTCAGTAACAGATCTATTTTCCCTCTGAGACACCAGTCTTAATGTGCAGACAAATTAATGAAATCTTAACGAAATTTTGCGAGCATAAAGGTCCATTGTCAATAGCGATCTGTTGGCCATCATGGCAAATTCGAGTAGCCAACTTGAACCCATTGAGAAATCTGTGAGATTGTGGAGATTCCAATAAAAAATTACTGGATTTTGCATACAAAAAGTTGATGAACCACGGTAAATGTGACATCTTTTGTCAAGTGACATATTTTATATTTATATTTATTTATAGCTTTTGTTTATGTAAAATAGAAAATAAAACAGAAAATAATTACATTATTGCCTCAGCTTTTGTATTAACATGTACCTGTTATTATGGAGTGAGTGATTGTGCGTGTGATTGATATGTCAGCCCGTATGTTATGTAATAGTTCTACTGTAAAATGACCCATCAAAGAAAATATGTAAAAGATTAGACACAGTTCAGATTAAGAAGATAAAAATCTGTATTTTTACCTTGTTATCCAGTGAACACATCTAAAAATATTTAACAGATAAATTAAAACAGACAAATTTAATATATATAATAATATAAAATTGAGCAAAAGACTTGAATATGTCTTTAAGATAGTTTTTTGGTTTATTTTATTTTATTTATTTTCTTGTTTTAAACAAAGTTTATGCTTAAAACAAAAGAAAACATTATGCCAAAAGGGTAAGTAAAAAAAAAACTTTTTTTAAATTTAATTATCTAGCGTAGCGTCAGTTCTGGCAGGTCACGTTAGTCAAGCTCGCATCAGCTGACTCACAGCTGATCCCCATCAACCTATGGGAATACGACACCCATCTAAGTATTCATATACAGTGGGTACGGAAAGTATTCAGACCCCCTTAAATTTTTCACTCTTTGTTATATTGCAGCCATTTGCTAAAATCATTTAAGTTCATTTTTTTCCTCATTAATGTACACACAGCACCCCATATTGACAGAAAAACACAGAATTGTTGACATTTTTGCAGATTTATTAAAAAAGAAAAACTGAAATATCACATGGTCCTAAGTATTCAGACCCTCTGCTCAGTATTTAGTAGAAGCACCCTTTTGATCGAATACAGCCATGAGTCTTTTTGGGAAAGACCCAACAAGTATAAATTTAATATATATAATAATATAAAATTGAGCAAAAGACTTGAATATGTCTTTAAGATAGTTTTTTGGTTTATTTTATTTGATTTATTTTCTTGTTTTAAACAAAGTTTATGCTTAAAACAAAAGAAAACATTATGCCAAAAGGGTAAGTAAAAAAAAACTTTTTTAAAATTTAATTATCTAGCGTAGCGTCAGTTCTGGCAGGTCACGTTAGTTGTAGGGATAAAAGAAATAGGTTTCTATGTCAATATATGTTTCTTACACAGGATTGTTTTTACCTAGGCTTTTGTTGACAGAATAATAGGCTCTGATTGGTTGTTCAGTGCAGGTACAGCTGGTCGAGAGCCAGAATTCCTGCAGCACTGAGTCACTGAGGGATGATAGCTAACTTTTCCTCTCTCTCTCTCTCTCTCTCTCTCTCTCTCTCTCGCTCTACCCACATCTATACAGCACAAACACAACCTGCTCCACCCCTCGTTTCCCTCCGTCCCTCCCTGTCTCTCATTCACACACAAACACACACACACAGTGCTGTAAGAACACACGCGCGGGTGGGTTCACTGCATTCCCCCGGCAGCAGCTCTCAGCACAGGAGAACGAGAATGTGAACGCTGGATCTCCATTGCCCTCCTCGCTTGTGCTCATGCTGAAAATTTAATGATGTGCTCCATTATTTAACCAGCCCGAGCTCTTCTCTCCCAGGCTGTGTGCCGCTTCTCGCTTCAGTGTCATTAGCGCTACGCTGAGATAAAAATGGATATCTATGGGATTCACCTTCAGTTTACCTGCTTTTCCAGTACCACTGCCTATCATCACCAGTGTAGCGGCACACAACAGGAAGTTGGACTTTTCTGATTTAGGACAGAATTATCACCTAATTTTAGAATCAGCTTTTTAAAATCTAGGTTGGAATACAGATGTTTTGTTTTTATTTTTCATTGTTGGATTTTCCTTTTACTTTAGGATTAATGCTTATTTCTTTTCCTTTTTCAATGTTTATTCCATTCAGACGAGAAGGAAGAAGTAGTCTTGGGCAGCCTTCCTCTTCTCAGCTTCAAGATTGGACCAGTCCAGGCATCAGACAACATCAACCGCAAGTTTGCCTTTAAGGTTGGTGATCTCTGTGTATTTTTGGTAACTGTTTCGAATGCTGTCAGGAACAAGGCATGGGCGGGGTGACAGGTAAACATGATATTTGGTGTCAGTGTAGGTAATTTGGTCATAGGAAACTGCAAACTGTGTGTCTGAATTAATCAGGATTCAATGACCGCGTATCTGTTTTTAGTCAAAACAACTGAATCCATATTTACCCTAATTGAGCACCCACACATGCAGTGGACTTTGCATCTTTGCATGCGTTCCCGAGTGTGTTTACACACCACGTGCCAGAAGGACAAACATAATGTCAGATTATATTTTCATCAGGATCCCAGGCAGCTGAGTTTGAGTTCATAGACCTTTCGAGCAAGCATATATGAGAGATCACAAGTATGCTGTGATTTCTGAGTAGATACGCCTCTGGTTGCGCACTGAGAGTACGTTGTTGTGGTGAGTTATCATAATTTAGAAAATAAGATTATGCTTAGCCTGTTTGTGAGGCTGTATTAGATTAGACAGGGTGCATGCTGGATAGCATCTGAGGACGTGTATTGAACTGTGTTTATAGTTAAAACATACGACTGTAGGTGTGCTCGTTCCACTTGTGGAGAAAGGGAGACCGTTATGTGTTTGGTAACTGTGTTTATGTCTCTTTCCTCCGGCTCTGTGGGGCCCCTAAGGGCTGGGCTGGAGATGCTCAAGAATCTGATGTCATGTCTCTGCAGGTTTTGTTAGGTTTCTAGTAAAACTGCTTTTTTTATAGCACCTGGCTTTTAAACTGACCAATAGAAAAGACGTATGCACGACGAGCCACAGCTCAGGTGTTGGTGACCTTTGACACTACTTAAAATAAAATCAGGTGGAATAAGCTTTGCTTCTGTCAGAGCAGTGTTTACTCATTTGAATATTTGGTTATATTTAAGATAATTTTGAATATTCAGGTGTACTCATATAAATTTTAGTTTAGTTTAATATTTTATATTTTATCTATGCTTTTTAATTACACATAATTTTGTGCTTATTTGACTTATTTTATTAATATTATTCATATACACTGCAGTTCAAAAGTTTAGGGTCGATATGATTTATTTAATGATTTTGAAAAGAAGTCTGTTGCACTCAGCAAGGCTGCATTTATTTGATCAAAAATACAGTAAAAACAGTGATATTGTGAAATATTATTAAAATTGAAATAAGTTAAATAACTGGTTTATGTTTTAAAATAAGGAAACATTTTATTATTATAAATGTTAAAAACAGTTTGCTTAATATTTTATGCAAACCATGATCATTTTTTTCGTGATACATTTGATGAATATAAAGTTTAAAAGAACAGCATTTATTCATTTATCACTTTTAATTAATTTAATGCATCCTTGCTAAATAAAAGTATTAATTCCTTCTACAAAATTGTACTAATCCCAAACTTTTGAATGATATAGTCTATATTTATAATATAATATTTGTATTTATTAAACAATATGTTATTTATTAAATATAAAGGCTTAAATATTATTTATTTAGATATATCATATACTTCTGCTTCTATTTGAATTAAATTACATTATCATAGACAACTCCTGTCTAATATTGTGTAGCATGTGGCATGTCCTTTGCACAATATTGTTGTTGTCCATTAACTAATATTGATTTTTCAAGAAAAAGGTGGTTTATCATTTCAGTTATTTGACTTTAAGATCATATTTACTTTAAAGCATGTGTATAGTTCTCAAAGTTCTTTTTTTTTTATTTTTACTATGGTTTATACATCACACATTTACTTCTAATGTTCATCCCCTGTGGAAATGGCAGGGTTTGGAGACTCAGCTTCACTAAAACCCATGTCTGCCTATCCACGTGCTTTTGAAAACATATCCAAAGCTGTTCAGTCTCCTACAAAAGAGGGACTATTTTATACTCCAGAGATATATTTGCAGAACAAAGCAAACTATCAGTCACAAGTATCCAGTAGCTTCTTGCATCTGCACCCTGAGGCAAAAGCTGTGCAGTGTGTCTTTTCCAGACCCCTGTGGTGCGGTTTCGGTATGGAGCCACGTCAGCGCAGATCATAATAAAAATCATGCCACCATCATGTCACACTGTATTTCTAAAAATGCCTTTGTGCATGTTTTGAACTTATAACCTACCTTGGTGTTAATAATTAACCAGGAAATAATGAGATGCGTTTGTTGTATGTATGAGGAAGAAAGGAAGGTGTATTTAGTCAGCCATTCTTCATTGAGCTCTGTGACAGAGAACAGTTACATGTATCATGTTGCCTTCACAAAAGAACCTGAAACACTGATGCAGTGCATCTTGCCCTGGGTCTTTTTATTCAGACTCATCTCCTGGAAGTGTTGCCAAACCTTTTATGAATTCCTTCTCCAGTGTGCAAGGATCAAAAGTGGTGTTTGTCATCTGGGCGCGGAATATTCTTCAGTTTCACATTGTGGAGTCTAATACTTTCTGGCTCTGCATTGCTTTAGGCCTTATACCTGTGTGTGTGTGTGTGTGTGTGTGTGTGTATGTGTGGATACTTAGATACACTTTGGGAACAAAACAAAATCTCCTTCTGGAAGGCTCTCTTTTAATTGTAAAATTGGAATTAAACCAGTTCACACCAAGAACTATAACTACAAATATATTAGTGTCCATACCATTGGACTATAATGTTCTGTTTATTATAAACACAATTCATCTGTTGCTTTAAATGCTTGAGCTCTTTAAAGTTGGACATACTGGCAGTGCTTTATCGTTCATTACTTCACCTCATCAATATTGTGCCTCTGTCATTATTGTCATAGCTGTGGTGTGGATCTTTCTGTTCTCATAGGATTAAAACAATTATTAAAAATGTATAATCGTCAGTGAAATTTAGTTAGTGTTCTCATTGTGAACAACCTTTTAGTCTGCAGTAATTATAATTGGCTGTATATAAAAACAATAATGCTGTCAGTATAATGTGTTAATTTGGTGCAGTTAATAACTTACAAACATTTTATAAAACAATTAATGTGAAATTAACAAATTAAATATTCATGCTATCTGATCCATCCATAATTTCAGTAATTTATTCAGGTCAAGTATGGCCTAAATGAGAATTATATATATATATATATATATATATATATATATATATACTTATATATATATATATATATATATATATATATATATATAGG